ATATTTGTATTAAACAACCACTATTATCCTTAGCCCCACGGTGGACGCCAAACTATTTACCCGAAAAATTGGATAGAGTTAAATTTATGTATGGTTCTAAGGATATGTGATATGATTTGATACAAATCGTATAGAGAAATAGAAATACGTGTATTCTTGACTATGAGAATAAGAATAGTGAGAAGAAGAACGAATAAGATAAAGGGAAATAAACACAAGGAGATCTCTTTCAATATGAGAAGAAATCTTTCGTTCCGATCCCCTCTGCTTACAATCCATTTTTTGTTTATAGTAGAGGGATCTTACTTTATATACAATAATAAAAAATACGTAGTGGAGAGCCCATGATGTATTGTCTTTTTTCTACTTCCCGCAAGGATTCTTTCCCTTAGTACGGCTGTAACAGCCTTGTCTGTGAGCTTCGATACTGACTCGAACTCGATATCGGGTCGAGCCATTGGCCTTGNCAGGATTCTCTCCCTTAGTGCGGCTGTAACGGCCTTGTCTGTGAGCTTCGATACTGACTCGAACTCGATATCGGGTCGAGCCATTGGCCTTGACTCGAGTTCGATCCTGACTCGGAGTCTTGATATTCGGGGTGGGTGTTGGTCGGTTTGTGCATCTCCGATAACCTTTTGCCTCGTGGTTCGATTTGGTCATGGGTCCGATAATGATACCGAACTGATCCTTGATCGGACTTGAAGCTCGAATCCTGAAGCCCCTTTCTTCGGACTTCGACCTGACCTTACGTAAATACCTTTCGATCGAAGTATTGCTGTCTCGATCAGTCCGTACGACTAACTCAATCGATTCTGACCGTACACAAGATCATACGGAGATAACTTTACCGTTGATCCAAGGTTTTTCTTCTCATGCTCTATTGCAGCTTTTTGGTTAAGTCAATTCTAATTTTATTGAGTAGCATCATAATTGACATTCCTCAATTTGAACCACTGGTGAGGAAACGTAACGCTAACAGTAAAATGTAGAATATAAGATTTATTGATTGATCATGATGTAGAACTTTTTATACAGTTTTAAATAGTAAGTATGGAAATGTAAAAGAAGAAAAGAAACAAATTAGCACGGTTACAAAGAAACGTCACACCAACGAAAAAATATACTTATATTTTTTTATTTTTGTAAAAGGGAATAAGGAAGGAGATGGCAAGGTTGGGAATTAAAACCTTATCAATAAGGTGAATATTCAGGTAGCTAACTTTTTACAAAATATAGAACTTAAATTTTATTAGCAAGAGTAATTTTTTTACATATATAAAGTATAACAAAACAGGTAATGAATAACTACGGAACTTAAAAAATTACATTTTATCTTAGTGCCGCTGGAAAAAAAAATCACTTCTAGTTTTTGGGCATTAATTCTATTTAGTTTAGCTTGGGAATCATTAACTGGTCTGACCATTAAGGTGTGAAATAGGAAAATAAAGTTGTTAAATTTTGACACTACCAAAGGGATAAGGAATATCAACTATGCTAATCTCATACATAATTTGGCAAAGGTCCAAATATATTCCTCTACTTTCGAAAATAGTCTAAAAATACTTCTCGTTATACTATTGAGTTATCTATACCCATGCAGTTATACTTTGGGTTCAAATATACCCCTCATTTAAACGGAGGGGCACGTGTCATCGTCCTGTTGGCTAATTCTAAATATCTCATAATTAATTAAAAAGACCCATTATACATACCCGAAAAGCAATTTTTTTTTTTTATAAAAACAGGAAAAAACTGAATTTTTTTTACTAAAAACTAAAAAAACAAAAATATTTTTTTTTCCAGTTTTTAATTGCTTAAGAAAATTGCTTTCCAGTTTTCTTTTCCAGTTTTTACCAAAAAACTTTAAAAAAAAACTGAAAAATATTTTCTAAAATAATGTTTTTGTAAAAACTGAAAAGCAATTTTCTTAAGTAATTAAAAACTGGAAAAAACTGAAATTTCTTTAACTAAAAACTGGAAAAAAATAAAATATTTGTTTTTTCAGTTTTTACAAAAGCATTGCTTTAGAAAATTACTTTTCAGTTTTTTTTTAGTTTTTACAAAAATAATTGCTTTAGAAATTATTTTTCAGTTTTTTTTAAAGCAATATTTTTCTTAAACCTGGAAAAAAATATTTTAAATTTTTTCAGTTTTTAAAACATTCAATTTTTTTCCAATTTTTACAAAAACATTGCTTTAGAAAATTGCTTTTCAGTTTTTACAAAATTATTGTTTTAGAAAATATTTTTTAGTTTTTTTAAAAGCAGTTTTTTTGTAAAAACTGAAAAACAAATATTTTCGTTTTTTCAATTTTTAGTTAAAAAGAAATCAGTTTTTTCCTGTTTTTACAACAACAAAAAATTGCTTTAGAAAATTAATTTTCGGGTATGGGTAATGAGTCTTTTTAATTAATTAGGAGATATTTAGAATTGGCCAACATGATGATGACACGTGTCCCTCCGTTTAAATGAGGGGTATATTTAAACCCAAAGTATTACTGCATGAGTATAGATAACCCAATAGTATAACGAACAATATTTTTAGACAATTTTTAAAAGTACAGAGATATATTTGGCCCTTTGCCGTACATAATTTATCCAAATCCCTCTACTTAATCTTTAATTAAATTGTTTTGTATGTGCAACAAAACAATTTATCCGCATCTTGATTTTAAGTGTATCATGGAACTATAAAATCTAGTAAAAAATACGAGACTTGTTGTAATTTCTCATTTATGTTATCTAGCAATTCCGAGGAACTAAAGTTAAGTCTAGTGATTAAATTAACTAATCGATGTATTTTCTAGTAATCTTAATATAATACACAATGTCTCCAGAAGTTTAATCTTATCCTAGGAATGAAGTTGCTTAAGGCGTAGGCAAGAGCTTTTTAATTAGATTATCTTTCAATTTGTCAAAATCAGATACCTCATAGACAAACAACTCAAATAGAAAAAAGGACATTAAATTCCATTAACTTATGATTATAATTGGACAAGCTCAACTATAGAGTAAGTTTTCTAGAGTGGAAATCTTAATTAGTGGAGGAATATTTACCAAGATATGAATTGGGATAATAACTGTTGATCTACTTGTTCATATATGTAGCCTTTAGAGGCCTATATGTCACTTTCTATATGACTTAATTTATAAATTAAGAGTGGAAATATTCATGTTGATTTTGATTATGTCAACCAGAAGAATGGGTGGGGAGCCTTTTAGGAGACACGAACAAGTGTGTGAATTATAAAATGGTTTGTTAGTTTTGACAAATTTAATTTAGTAAACAAATTAAAATGATATGCACACTGAGAGATTCTTTCTTGGTTTTTCTTTTCAAATTTTTATTCGTCTTTTAGTAATATTAGCCATTTTTTAACACGTTGAACTTTCCAGTAATTGATTTTCTCACATAATTTTGCTTTAAAAGATTTTATGATTTCCAAAACTTTCAGTCAACCAGAGAAACCAAAGGAGAGAAAGAATGTTTCCTTTTATTAGGGTATTTTGTTATGGATAAATATTACCCTCAATAGAAGATTATCTATATCTGGTACAATAAACTTATCATGTCGGTACTCCATTATTGATAAATATTACCCCCGGTAGAAGATTATCTATATCTGGTACAATACCAGCTTACAAGCAGCTTGCAGTAGCAACTTACACAACAGCTTTCAGTAGCAACTTACACAACAACTTGTTTTCTTTTATAAATAGTGGAGATTTCAGTTCATGATATACATCAATTTAAAATTGAACTGATATATTATTTAATTTGTACTTTCGGAGCAATTCACACATATATATTTCTGTTACCTTTATATTTAATAAAAGTAGTTTTATAACTTTCTGTTATATTGAATAAACTTCAGGACTTAGTGTAACAAAACATCGTTTCATTACTTTACTTAGTGTAACAAAACATCGTTTCATTACTTTACTATTATATAATGATATTTTTTTTGGGTGAAATTAACCCTTTCCCCCCTCTTTGAGCTTCCTCACAAAGAAAAAATAAAGAAAAATAAATGAAAATAAGCAAATATAGCATGACACTTTAGAGTTTAGACCATAAAACGTGCTGAATTCTTGAAACTAGTGTAGTATAAACAATTTGTTTCTATAAGATTTGCGTTCCCTCAAACTGTTTTAAATGGAAAGAATAGTTCATACTTCATAGTATCCTACTTAACAATTGATAATCGTACTCGTAACATCGCTCCTACCAAAAAATAGTACTNATATAGCTATTTAAATATAACAGCTACCGAAATTGAAGAATATTACCATTATTTATAAACATGGAACTACCCGCTATAGCCACTACGTGATGGAACACAATGTTGTGGATTCATGAATCTGAATCTTGAAAATTAAAATCGAAAAGTTTAAGCTAGCGTTTGGCTTAAATTTATTCTAAAAAATTTGATTTGGGTGAAGTTTGTTTTGAAGATATGTGTTTGGACATATGTTTTGGGTGAAGTTTGGTTTGGAAAAACATGAAACATAACTTATACCCATAAGTTCTAAAAACTATCACAAATACCCAACAGTACCATTATCAATAAGATTCACTATATTATTACAAACCATAGTCCTGAACATAAATAAATTTGATACAAAATTATCATTTTTATAATGAACTACATGATACACTATCAGATGACCGAGAAGACGAAGCAACATCGTTACAAAATAATAAATAGTGGGCTCTTTTATAAAATACAAAAGTTTGGGGCAATTTTTATAAAATATAATAGTGATATTTTGGCCCAAAAGCTGGTTTTGGGATTTGAGATTTAGGATTTGGCCAAAATGTAGGGAAAATCTATGGCCAAACATGTATTTGCCAAATAAAAACCAAGTTTATTTTGACAAAATCTATGGTCAAACGGGTCCTAAGACACTTGTAATCATCTTATACTATGTAATAAGAGTATGTCACTTTAATTTCTATCCCTAGTCTCTTATAATTTTTTGCACACATAAAATAATTAATTGTGTGCAACAATAACTGAGATAATTAAATACAAATAATATGCAGTTTAATATATCATAAAACTAGTAATTAAGTGATGAGCTAGGCTCTCATCCTTTCAACTTTCTGAATGGAATACTTGAGTTCTTTCTGAATGTTCAACCTAGAAGGTGACAAGACAATATCTTTCCAAACAGAACCTGTTTGAAAAGCTGGATGTGGATTCTTGTAAAGTTCATATATGGAGTTTGATCCATCATTCAACCTTCCCACCATTTTCAATACATCTATCTCATCTGGATCAACTAATAGTGTCTTGTCTTTGTCCTTCCACCCTATCAACTGTTGAGAATTAATAAACCACAACAAAAGAATTAATCAATATGAGACAGCCGCAGATATCCCATTTAGCATTATGCCATTTAATATCACAACATGTCATATGCTAGGCAAATTATAAGAATGTGCAAGCTGTGACAACTGAAAAGGGCAGTTCGGTGCATGAAACATCTCGCCCATCACGCAAGGTACGAGAAAATGCCGCATCCCAAAGGGGTGCAAGAATCAGTGGTTGAATTCATGTTTCAAATCCGTGACTTATAAGTCACACAGAGACAACTTTACCGTTGTTCCAGGGCTCCCTTCAGGCAAAGACCAATGAAGGGCAGCCCGATGCACAAAACATCCTGCATTCAAACAGGGTCCGGGGAATGGCCGCATCTCAAAGAGTGTGATGTAGATATCCCACCCTATGCAAATATTAGTGGCTGTTTTCATGGCTCAAACCCGTGACCCGTAGACAAGAAATGACCTACAGGCAGAGACAAATGAAACAAAAAACAAAAGTAAGAAGATATTGTAGGAAGTTGTTTGGTTGTACCTTAGGTGGGCCTTCCAATGCATTAGTGGAGTATACTCTTGCATTGTCTACTAGCTGACAGTATGTATGGAATGCACTTGCAAATCTCTTGTGTGATTTCAGCTGTGAATTAACTCTTACTGCTCTTCTACACATGATTGCTCTCCTGTAAACAACCACAAATTCACAATTAATATTAGTATTAGAAAAAATTGAATATTCTAATTGGTATTAATATCTAGAAGTTCAAGCTAGGTAGAAATACTAGCTATTAGGAAAAGACAGAGCTAAGATTTTAAGTCAGTGAGTACGAAGTACTATAGTACTAATTACATCCACTATTGTTATGTAATAGCTGAGCCAACTTAGTACAAATATGGAGTATATTTTATGACAAATGTTAACTTTTATTTGTTTTTTGACATGGTTATAGGTAGGTAATTCCATACCTTATTCCTCTAATGACAGCTAAATAAGCATCACAAACAACTCCAACCAATTCTATTCTATAAGGCCTTCTCTTTCTATTCCCATCAGTGGCCTCTTGCTCTTCATTCAGCTGTTCCCAGTAGTTTTCAGTAACAGTTCCATCATCCTCTACTCTGTAACCAACACCCATGCGATAACGGCGCCGGTGAACATTTCTGGCCATGGTTATAGTCTGCACTACAAAGGGTATCCATGAGAGTGTACCATCCATAATCACATCCCTCCCTTCATTTAGTGCTGTTACAAGTAGTGATGATGCTGCATCTGTTGATGACTGATGTACCTGCATATTACATTTCAATGCAACTTTTGCTTAGGCATATTGTTCCTTAACCACTATAAATAAAAGAATTAGAACAAGACAAAACATAACCTCAAAATTGGCAAAATCAATAAAGTTGAAAGTAGGACAATTGTTAGCACTCTCCTTAACTCAAAGTACAAATAGATTATTGACCTAGCTAGTTAGGTAAGATAATCTCAGGAGTGGTATATTTTCTATTTCGTTTTTCAGGCGGATCCTTTTTATTCTTTTTGGAAGCTTGGTGCACAACCGCGCCCCAAGGGGTGTGATGTAGACAATGTACCCTAATGCAAGCATTAATGGCTGCTTCTACGGGCGAATCCCGAACTTTAGAATCATGAATGTAGTTCAACTACCTTCAATTGTAAAGTTGCTACTACCATTTCATGACATTGGGTGCTCACTAAATCTAAATACATGATATTACTAGTATCCTATATGAATATACAGTGTATGGGTAAAAAACAATGGGTGCTTGAGCATACACTAGTATTAATGTAAGTTCGCCACTGGATATGATTGAGAAGTGATATATATTAGTGAGGGGGAGAATGGAGTTGTCAAAACGGACTGAACCAATTCAATCCTAACGGACTATAGAAATTATCAGCCCAATCTAACCTTTCATTTGAAAAGGCTTGAAATACATGCTTGCCCAACACAACCTTTAAGCAGGTTACGTTTGACTAATCTCACGGGGTAAACTCATTTTGACGGCTTTAAAGGAAAGTTTGAGAAGCATATATATATATATTACCAATTCAGCAGTTTGAAGCATGTCATTATGATGTCCCCTAGAGCTGAGGGCTTTGTAAATGACATCTGATTCTTTGAAAGCATCTGCCTCTATTACAACAGCATTAGCTGCTGCTCCTGCCCAAAAAGGTCTATACACAAAGATTTATGCAGACAACTCTGTATTAGTATCTTACATAAAGAATTCATAATAAATCCACATTATACTATCTTTAGTTATTAACAAAATTAATTAAGTAGCCATATATTCTTACTCCTTGAGAATGTCCTTAAGCACAGTGCTTTTGCCAGCTCCCATACCACCACCCATAAAGAGGAGGACAGGGCTTCTATCTTTATGAGCCATTGGAACCATAACATCTGTGCACTGTGAATCATCTGCTGAAACAAGCCCTATTGCTTTCATCTCCTCTACTAAGGTTGTAAATACTCTTGCTACCTTCAGATTCTTTGTCACCCTTTCAAATCTTTGTTCCCTTTTTAATAAAGAAGGCAATGTTAGTAATATGCCAAATTCCAAAGAGTATATGTAAATACTTTCAAACTATCAGGTCATTTTTATAATATAATTAGAGATAACTGTCCATAATAAGTGGAATTAGTTACCTAAAACATAAAGCAAGTAATCTTCTATAACATGTTAAATTGATTAAAATTCGGTTAAGTATACTGTTAGTGTAAGAGGGCAGCCCGGTGCACAAGGCATCTGCGTTCACGCAGGGTCCGAGGAAGGGCCGAATCCGAAGGGGTGTAATGTAGACAACCTAACCTAATACAAGCATTAATAGCTGTTTCCACGGCTCTAACCCGTGACCTATAGCTCACATGGAGACAACTTTACCGTTGCTCCAAGGCTCCCATTCAACGGTTTAAATCCAATTTGAAGGTAGTACTGAAATATGTCCTAATTATTGGATTGTTGTACCTAGTAGCTGCCATGACAATGCTTTTCAGCTTCTTTTTTGGCTCTGCATGATCAGCACTCAAAATCTGAAAGATCATGTAACAAGAGGAAATTAATTAACATCTTAATTACTTCAATTAGAAACACATAGAGATCAAAGATGTATCCTTTAAATGAATATACCTGGCTGATCATATGAGAAGCATGGCACCAATGAAATGCAAAGTAACTAAGGATGCATCTCTCAAATTCTTCAACTAGCTTTATAAAGAGTGAATCGGCATCTGGTTCATTAGAAAAGAAGTTGTATATATCTTCTTCACACCCTTCTGATTTCCTTATATACTCAGCTGCTAATTTGCATAAATGTGGACATTCCCTCTTATCAGCAAATCCCATTTGTCTAGCTGCATATTCATACATCACTAACATCACTAATCATAAAAAAGGTAACACTAGACAATCCTAAAGACCCATGGCCTAGCGGTTAATGAAGTGGATGAAAATCACGAGAGTCTGGGTTCAAATCCCAACAGAGAAACAAAACCGAACCGAATTATTCAATATCTTTGCTGGCGGGCGGGAGGCAACATGTACACGATTAAATAATCGAGATGTACGCAAACTAACTCGAACATCACAATTATACAAAAAAAATCGTAAAAGGGATTCATGAAAAATTACCTACATAATGAGAAAAACTCTCAAACCTAAGGATCTGACCAGTATTGGTAACTTTAGTACGAGGAACAATTTTTTGGTCACGAATTTTCTTGAGGCGATAATGCACAGCAGCAGCAAGAATTAATCCAATTGAAGATGCTACAATGATCTGTGTATATGAAGGTTTTGAAGAAGCCATTGCATTTCCCATGCAAAACAGATCAGTTATAATATTGTTGAAATGGCTTGAGAAGTAGAGATCAAAGAGACCATTTTAAAGGATTGATTAAACTTTTTTGCTTTTCTTGAGAAAAGAAGAACATAATGAAGAAAAAAAGGTTTAGATTTGAGATCTGATGCAAGCAAAAATTAAGGAAAATAGCAGATTAATTAAGGGATTCTTTATGGGAAGGCTATAGCTTAGGCTGTTGCATGTTAATCGTTATGGTTGTTTGAATGTTAACAACACGTGTTAACTTTTTAATTAGGCTATCCTATTCCTGTCTTAATATATCATTCTTTTTGTTTCCCTTCTTGAAAATGTCCTGGAAAATGCTAGTATTATTTAAGGGGAATTTATTTATTTACCCACAAAATAAAAAGTAGATAGCACTTGTCAAGAAAATTTATAGATAAAGACACATAAAAAATAGAGCAAGTAGCTTTTCATTTTCTAATTTCTTGGTGGGGCATTCAGGTTCATACAAAAATCGGCCAATTTGAATTAAAATAGAGGAAGTAGAACCCTCCAGATATTCGAATAAAAGAGACTTGAGAGAGTTCAAAATTGAAATTCCCATTAAGCATATGAGAAGAGAAAAAAACTACTGAAAACTCCATTAGAAGGAAAAAAAATTAATTGCATGCAAGATTGGACAACAGCTGAAGCTTGAACTTGAGATTGCATACTCCCTCATGTCGCACCATCTTATAGCTCAGTGTCAACATTAGATGATAATTACTCAATCCCGAGTTAGTTGGAGTCAACTATATAAATTCTCATTATCCATGTCACTCCTTTTAAATCCGTCCTAGTTCTATATATGTTATGAAGTAAATACAACTCTTTAATGGTTCAATTGAAATGACAAGCAAAGAACTTTCATTATCTCATGAATTATTTCAGGATAAACCTACTCCCCCCCCCCCACCACACACAAAAGATCCAAATAACAACATATCCAACACAAAAATCAAAAGAAAAAATGAAACAAATAGCCGCTCATTCAACCACTTAAACTAAAAATAGCCGGTGGAGATGTAATATATGCATAATTTATGTATTATATATATATATAATCAATATATAAACTATGTATATGACTAAAAAAAATAAACAATGAATATGACCGGCTATTTGTGTAAAGATAGCAGAAAGGTGAAAAAACCAATTTTAAATTATAGGGTGATCACTTTTATTGATAAGTCATCCTGTTTAGGGTAAGTCTAGAATAAGAACAAATGCTAAAGAACGAGACCTAAGTGGGACTTGAAAAACTTTAATTAGTGGAATCACCTTTTGGACATAGTGATATGAACACCTAAATGAAGCTGTAGTATACTTTTATAGTATGCATTTTCCCTCCTTGGCTCTCATACATTTCTTTAGATAAAATGTAACCAAATAATGTATCTCATGATCCTGTAGGAGTAGGATTAGTACTGGTTTGCAGGCACTGTCGTTGATCAATGGTGGCCAAGTTTCTGAAACATCGATAGGTAGATAGAGCTAAGCCTAGCCTTTAAACATTTGACTTTGCATCTTTTTCTTCTAATCAAAATTTCATTCATTTTCTCAACTTCAGCTGCAAATTTTCCATTCAGGATTTGCCTATCGAAAGATTGCCCATGCAACCAAAAATTGGCATTGATTGCATTTGTTGTTGGGTCATGGAATCTTGTATATACCAAAACAAGTTACTGGTTATGACGAGGTATTGCTGATTAATTTTCAGTACTACATTCATTTCTTCCAAGTTGCACCAGTGTCAACAAGTTTGGTATAGGCATTCTTGAAATCTTCAAAAAATAAACTCTGATCCTCAGCATACTTTGAGATCCATCTGTTCAAGAAGCATGAAAGACATTTCATTACCAAACAGCGAGTCTATAACTTGTGAACTGAAACTAGATTAGTGAATTGAAAATTCTGCCATTTCGCTAGCAGACGTAAGCTTAAAGTCAGGATAAACTGGGAGCAGCTATTGTTTCAAACCATAATAAAGGAACACCCATAACATAAGGTCAGAGAAAACATTACCTTACACATTCAACATCTTCGACAAGTGCCCTATCAGAAGGAAGGCCAACCATACTAGTCATGCCGGCTGTATAGATGAAAGAGATTTAAAATACTATACGGTTGAAGATACTAAAAGAGGAACTTATGTTCAATGATTCTCATTTTTGTATGAATTAATCAGAAAGAGTGTCATCATTCCTCATAAATAGTGAAGCATAAGAAGTTTGCAGCTTAGCTTTTCCGGAAGCCTAGTCTTGCTTAGCAATTTTCTGCGTAAAAGTCATTTAAGCTCTATGCATGTAGGTATCAGGGATTTCCATTTCAGAATAAAAGACCATCATTGCTGCATAGCATCTGATGAGTGAGTGTGCTTGGCTTTTATTTCGATAAATCAAATATAAGTATGCATCTAAATGTTATTCGTCACCTGAGGATAACCATGGTTTCTCCATGAGTATCTTGAAGTATGCATTATCAAAGACAACTGGACTCCCAAACCCTTTACTTCCTAGAGTATGCGCGCCAGACAAGGCAACAAGTTCCTGAGTTCTGCCAACAAAATGCACAAGCCATCAGGCAGGATATCTTAACAGTGATAATCAACAGATCTAGCTTTTTTCCAAGGATAGGTGAGCAAGGAGGCTCGACTACATAATTTAGAGTTAGAGCATGCTCAGACCTCTGGCAATTGGCTAGCATGATTACCAAATGTGAGATATGTCTTTTGAGTTTTGAACTGTCAGTCGATGACATTCTCAACCCAAATTACAGAACTGATGCAGCTAATAGAGGAGGCAAAATACCATATGAACTATTGTATTTTGTGCAGCCTAACTGAAATTCCTTAACCTCGAGGGAGGAGGAAGAATGCGTGCAATTAATTTATTTTTTTTTGGCCATGAATCATGCAATCAGTCACAAAATATCATATGCAGATTGACACCATTATAGCATATTGGAGACAAAGTGCTTCACAAAGAAAAGCATAATTGGAGAAAAGTTTGCTATTGAATATATTTAAAATAAATCTCCTTTTCTTCATCTAAAACCATCATCTCGGATGAGTTTCTTAATGTGGCCTTGGATAACACCAACAGATCTAAGGTTCAAAATGACTACCCCAAAGACTGGCTAAGTCATATGCTCTTTATGCATGACTTAGATAAATTGTGTATGCCATGGAGGTTAAGAATTCACTATGACCTATATACCGTATTCGTATTGGCATAAGAAAATGTGACTTCGTGTATACAGTTGGTCCATCAAATGCTATCGCAGCGTACATTCATTTGAATTGTCAAATAAAGCCAAGTTCTTGAAATTGTGGATGTTGCATAAGTTATTATTATTATTATGCATCACATAAATGGGACAGGGGGCTAAGCTATGAGTCTCATACCCATGCATTAGAAACTCATAAGGATAAGGAAGCGATTATAAACAGATCCGAAATCAGAAACGATTATAAAGAAGATAACAATCAACTTTTGAAAAGTCTGAGTATATGATGACGCTGTGTGAGATTATAACATTGGAGAAAGAGAACAAGATGCATATGAAACGTAAGAAATACAGAAGTAATTCACATGCCTCAAATAGAGCAGAACTAATGAGAGGTCCCTTCAACGTAAACAAGACAGAACTAACATTTACTCCACCATGTGAATTACCAATTCTTATTTATCCACGTAGCTACAGACATAACGAATGTTATTATCACCATATTTGTCTATACTCTATACTGCATTTAATGTTATCAAAAAGGGTTTAGTATTAGAAACTAATATAGAATGGATACATATATGACACACTGATGATACAGAGCCAGTTTATTAGTGATGTGCTGAACTTGAAACCAACTGTTTTATGTACATTGCCCAACATCTGTGAAAATTAAACACAGAATGTTGCAAGTGAAAACCATAGAAATGCCAAGAAGCAAAACTTTGTATGAATTACAAGTCTCATTACTTCATCTAAAGAAGCTACTGGAAGGGGGGAACCCCTAAAGTGCTTTGTTATCCACCAAAGCAAGGTAGAAGAAACATGAAAAATACAAACATAATTATCTATTTTCTCGTTTCCTTATAAAAAAAAAGATTATCTATTTGCTCGTTAACAGCAACTGCAAAAAATAAATTCCTTATAAAAAAAAAGATTATCTATTTGCTCGTTAACAGCAACTGCAAAAAATAAATTCCTTATAAAAAAAAAGATTATCTATTTGCTCGTTAACAGCAACTGCAAAAAATAAACCCAGTCAAATTCCGTGAATGGCATCAAAACTATATGTCAACGCTAATAGAATGGTATAACATGCACAAGGAGAGCAGAAGACTAAAATAATATAAAAATAAAAAGCAGATTTGAGTATGGCCAATAGACTCACGAGAAGCCTTTTCTTTCAAAACATTGCTTCAAACTAGTGGCATCTAGTGATTCTTCAGGAAGTTTTCCTTCAGGATCAGGCACCCTACAAAATCAAAGTCAGTTATCAGAATGTAGATACGGTCATACGGCAGATAAATTACGTAAATCATCTGAATATAATCGCTACATGCATTAAAGGTTTCCTCTTGATAAATGCTCTAAACCTGTTACTCAATCTTTTTTCTCTTTGAAATGGAAATAATTTAGTTACAAAGGCTTCAATCAAGATTGTAAGTTGCTAGTAAATCGCTAAATTTAAGATATTCAGATGATCCTGATTATTAAATCTTTCAACAACAACAACAACAACAACCCAGTGGAATCCCACAAGTGGGGTCTAGGGAGGGTAGTGTGTACGCAGACCTTACCCTTACCTATGAAGGTAGAGAGGTTGTTTCTGAAAGACCCTCGGTTCAAGAACTGATTATTAAATCTTTGCATCCCTATTTCTACAAAAATGTAAATGAAAATATCGTAGCAAGGAAACATAGCTCCAGATTCATCAATGAATCTACTTCTTATTTTAGCAGAACATAACTAATATAAAAAACTAAAAGGTAAGCCCTTACAGTGAATCAATTCTGCCCAGCTGAACCGGGATGCTAGGTCCACCACATAATGAAACAGCTTCTGCTCCAGCCAAAGCTATTAAATCAGCCCACGGGACTGACAACAAAGCCATCAATAAAAAAGTCACGCTGGTACAAAAATGATAGGTGAACTAACAGAAGTTTATTGACTAAGACAGTTTACCTGGTTGCACAACATCTATTTGACTCTTTGCTTTCTCCAGAATCTAAAGAACAATGCATTGGACCGAGATGTTA